TTTCATAACACAGGGCTAGGAACAGCTAGCTGTTCCTTGGTGGTCAAGTCTTGTGCCCACGTCAGGGCTGAGCACTTGCTAAGCTCCTTTTTGGCTTGAAATCCCACAGACCTGGTTCTGAGTCTCTTCCTCCCTACTCCTACAACCCTGGTGGCGCCTCTGAACCTTACATCACAGTTTTCCACATGGAGAACGTGCAGATCCCTCCTGAATTGGGCCCATGAGCCAGCGGATTGAAGAACGGCTCTCATTCAGTCAACCAGGCATGGAAACCACCAGGATCTCCTAGGGGATGGGCAGTGGATGAGAACCCAAGCATTCCATGTGTTCACTGTGGCCAATCACATCCTAATAAAATGAGACCCTTGTGTAAATGTGCTCTGAAAACAGCTTACAATAAAGTCTGCTCATCCCCATCATCTTTGCCTAAGAAACATTTTAGGCTGGGCACGGTGGCTCATGTCTGTAATCCCAGCACTTTGGGAGGCCGAGGCAGGAGGATCACAAGGTCAGGAGTTTGAGACTGGCCTGGTCAACATAGTGAAACCCCATCTCTACTAAAAATACAAAAATTAGCTGGGCATGATGTAGGGTGCCTGTATTCCCAGCTACTTGGGAGGCTGAGGTAGGAGAATAGCCTGAATCCGGGAGGCAGAAGTTGCAGTGAGCTGAGACCGTGCCATTTCGCTACAGCCTGGGCTACAGAGTGATACTCTGTCTCAAAAAAAAAAAAAAAAAATTATTCTGTGAATTTACTCTTAACCACTTTCCTAAATGTTCTCATCATAGTGTCTACTCTGTAGGAAGCAAAGGCCCTTTCAAAAGAGTCACACCTAACGGTGAGGAGGAACAACTAAACCAAGCCACTCTGATCCGTCCCCAACACAGTTTGTGTGATGGCACCAAAGCTGATATTGTTCCGAGCCATTTGTCCCATCGGCACAAGCTACGTGAATGAATTCCTTGAGGGAGAGTAATTACTGTATCAGAAGCCGGGGAAATTATCCTTGAGGTGTACTTCTCTCTCCTGAGAATAGTTCCTCTCACAATTATGTTCTCTGCTAGAAATCTATTATATGATGTAGTTTTTCCTCCAAAGACATCATTAATCATATGGTGAAAATGTAACTACAATTGAAAATACAAGATGTTTTGTTAAACGCCATATTCAATGCTCAGTAATCGTCAAGCTCAAAACTTTTAAAGAATCAGTGCCTGGCATCTCCTTCTTAAAAATACCACTATTGTTCTCACATCGCCTTTCTTGCAAGGATTGTAAAGTCCTCTTTAAAATCATTATATAGAAGTTCATAAAGTTATTCTGGTCTAAATGCCCAGCTTTGCTATGGCACTCTATGTTGAGTTCATATCACAGCACCATGTTTTGGGAGAAATTGTGTGAGAAAGAGTCTTTCCTGGAATCAACTAGAGTGGTCCAGCGTCTTTGTAATGGGAAGGAAGTTGGACTGCCAGTCAGAACAGCTGGGTCCCAGCCCAGGCTCTGCCTTTGAGCAAATCATCTCTGTGCTTCAGCTCCTGTTTCCTTTGCCCTACTGTGAAGCATGGGACTAGGCATGTTCAAAAGACCTTCACCTCTTACCTTCGGACGTCCAGCCTCAGTGTGATCATTACAATTCACTCAATTCAAACTGAATTTTTAAAAGTTGAAAACAATGGACTTGATACAGACAGCAAAACTGAGAGCAGTCAGAGAAGTAGTCCCTGCCCCAATGTCACACAGAGATGATGCCAAATACAAACTCTGTCACTGTGAGAGGAGAGAAATGCAGAGTGTGGCTGGGCTATGAATTCTCAGCCTAACCTAATCACGGCTGGGGACTGAGACCACCAGGAGCAATTGGAGGGGCAAAAAGAGGAAGGGGGGAAACCCATGCATGAGGGGCAAAAGAGGCCAACTTGGAAGACCAGCAGACGCAGAGGCGAACCAGGAGGGTGGCGACCTGTGTGTGCGAGGTCCAGTGGGATGCAGCTTCTCCTGCAGCCCCAATGCAAGATCCACATTTAGTGTGCCCTTTTATTGATTGTCCTGGCTTTTAGTTGGGGAACGCAAGTCTGCAGCCAACTGGACGCAGCACCCAAGAGCAGGCTGGTGATGGGAGAACAGTGGACACAGAGAGGGCTTTGGCATCGAACTTCCTTCGGCAGGAAAAACTCTTCAGCAGCAGCAACCAAACCACCAACAGCAGGGAACCCTGTGGGTGCCAGAGCCTCCAGGAAGAGCTCTGCTTCCCTGCTGGCTGTGTGGACCCAGCACTCCATAAGGCCCTGCGCTAGGCAAGGCATGGCCACCATGTTGGAGTGCACAGAGCTAGAAATTGCTGCCTTCATCCTAGGCCTCCCCTCTAGAGCCCAGGAGCATGGGCAAGTCCCTTAATCACCTTTGCCACAGTTTCCTTTCCAGTCTGTGTGCTGGGATGATAAACTATCTAGACCCAATTGCAGGCACCAGGAACAAAGGAAAGGATGGGGACGCAGGGGAGGAGAAGCGAGGAGAGGGAAGACAGATGCAGGTGCCGCTGTGGCTAGGAGGGCAGTGAGGAGGAAGCCAGACAGCAAAACTACCCTTGGCCCTTGTAGAAACCAGCAGCTGGAACACACCAGACACATCCTGTCTGTCAACCTCTCTGGCTCCACCCACTTCTGACTCATGGGCAGGTCCCTGGGGGCCCATTTTGGGCTCCTCCCCTGCCTGGGCCCAAAAGGTTACTGCAGGGCAAGTCTCTATCTGGTGGCCACCTACCCAGGCTGCACTTCTGAGAATGGACAGTTAGGGCTCCTCCCCAGCTAAGAGCCATTACTTGCTGGCTAACTGTGATGATTCATGTGATCAGTTTAAACACTTAGAGAATATAAGGATAAGTCACATGCTGGGTGATGTGGTTTGGCTCTGTGTCCCCACCCAAATCTCATCTTGAATTATAATTCCCACATGTCAAGGGAGGGAGTGGGTGGCAGGTTATTGGATCATGGAGGCGGTTTCCCCATGCTGTTCTCATGCTAGTGAGGGAGTTCTCATGAGACCTAATGGTCTAAAAGTGTGTGGGCTCTTTCTCTCTCTCTCTGTCTCTCTCTCTCTCTCTCATGCCACCGTGTAAGATGTGCTTTGCTTCCCCTTCACCTACCTCCATGATTGTAAGTTTCCTGAGGCCTGCCCAGCCATGCAGAACTGTGTCAATTAAACCTCTTTTCTTTAAAAAGTACCCAGTCTCAGGTGGTTCTTTATAGCAGTGTGAAAACAGATTAGTACACTGGGTAAAGGAGTGATACTCCTCTTGCAAACACTGGCTACACCTGTGTGCCAGGCTTATGTCAACACATTTCAAACCCAGATGCTACCAGTTTTCAGATGTCAACATTTCTGCATTACAACCCATCTTAATTTTACAAGACACCCTCCCCAGCATTTTCCACTATCATAACATGTCAAAGGCCACACATAACAGACAGAAGTCGCTCTATGTTGCTCAGTGCTTTGCCACAGTTTGTCTTTATAGACAAATGAGGCCAAAACATGGCACGGTGTCCTGGTTTCTTAATACATTTTTCTATAAAATCTTTCTGTAAGTTGAGAAGGAGAAGGCCATAACCCTATGCTGCAATTTCAATAGGATCAAAGGAGTGGGTCCACATCTGAGCCTTTCACAGAGCTGCTTTCTTAACAAAACAGGCTGGTGTGCTCTGAAAATGCAGATATCACATCACAATGCTATACTATTGTCTGTTGAGAAGGTAAAGAATCTGTTTCTGGTTGTGCAAACACAGACATACAGTTTTCCAGCCACCAACTGGTCCACCAACAGGGACCACTCTGTCGAGGCTCTAAAACTGTGATTACAAGGAAGACTGGACTGCTCATGCCAAGGGCCTCAAAGACATAGCTTCAAGAAGGTAGAAAAACAAAATATAACAGGGAAAAGAAGAAAGAACTGAAAATTTAAAACATGAGTCTTGGTTGGTCCTTTTCAAAGTGAGAGAAGATTTGAATCCAGTTTTAAGTTCAAAGTCCTAAAAAAATTAGAGTATTCCAGGGGTACCTGAGTCATCTGTATTATTCCAAAGTCCTCACGGATTTTCAAGTTGCTTTCCATGATTCACAGAAACTAGGGACCACAGTTTACTGACGAAGTGTGACATGTCCTCTCCCTATCAGCTTCCCCCACCCACCTGTCTGATCCACTTAGGAGCAGACGAGGAGTGCATGGAGCAGAAGGAGATGAAGGATAAATTCCACAGGAAGAAACAGATCAGGCTGGAAAAAAACACACCAACCCAGGGTGGCATTAACCCTACAAACTTCCAAACTCTAGAGGCAGAGAAGGTTGCTGAGAAAACTCAAACCACCACTCATCAATTCCCTGCAACATGCAATAAGCTGGTGGCAAACTCCTGCATTTGGTGGCGTTTCAGAGACTTCCTGAGCTCCATCATCTCTGTTTTTCCTACTTTTATTGATACAGCTCATTTTACAACAGTTTAATTTTCTTTCTAGCCCACCGCAACCACCCAGAAAAGAATCCTTTCAAGATGGGTCTCTGGAGAGGTCGGTCTAGGTCACTGGCCAATTTTTAAAACTTTTTAACGCTTGGGAGGGGGCATCTGTCTCCCATTTTGCTCTGGGCGGTTGAAAAACAGTTCCAACTTGAAAGATGGACATGAATGAAAGCCACAAAAGAGGACTCTCTGAGCACATGCCAGGAACAAGCACACTTGGACACCGGTCAATCTTTGTGAAATTCTCCATAGTGACGTCATAGAATTTCAGAGACCGAGAATTCTGAGATCACCAAATCCAACCTGTTCATTTTATAGGTGAGGTAAACTCTGGCCGAAAGCAACGGAATAAACTGACCACAGCAGGGACGGCGCTGGGAAGAGAAGCTCAGCCTCCCAAACTCCAAACCCCGATTCTGCCCCAACAACATGTTGCCTCCTTCAGAGGCTCCACCCAGCTCGATACACAAAGTAGCCACCCTCCCTACCTTTCTTCCTCCACCAGGGTCCTTCAGGAACCGCGTAGGAAAGGTCCCTGAATTCAATGTTCACAGCTGCCCTCCGAGGCAAGGAGGAGAAGCGCTGGGCTTCTGTAAGGTTGTTGTCCACTTTCTTCAGATGCCCATTCAGCAGATCTGTCTCAGCGGCCTCCATGCTGCCGGACACCACCTCATCCACCGAGACACACACCGACTTGGGCTCCGTCATCTCTGCAGAGTAACTGCTGGCATTCTAGAAAAACCAGAGGAAGCATCAAGACATGTTATAACCTGCATCAAGAGAAAGAACATGGAGAGATTCACCATCAGGCTCGGGGTCATTGGTTATTAATAGCAACACTTCTTTCACTGCAAGAGTGCCTTTGGCCCCAGGAGAAACGTGCCTACCTAGAGGAATTTATTATCTCTGTCACACTTTCTTCTATTAAAAAATGCTGCTGGGCATGGTAGCTTACGCCTGTAATCCCAGCACTTTGGGAGGCCGAGGCGGCGGGTGGATCACCTGAGCTCAGGTGGAAAAACATGGTCTTTACCAAAAAAA